TCGCAATCACCTGTTATGCATCAGAGAGTTGGACAATGACCAAGGAGGATAGAAGGAGAATTGATGCCTTTGAGCTGTGGTGCTGGAGAAGAGTATTGAGAATACCATGGACAGCTAGGAAATCAAACAGATTTGTCCTGGAAAGGGTTAAACTGGGTGGCTCCTTGGAGGCAAGGATTCTGAGGCTCCATCTAACATACTTTGGACATGTTGTGAGGAGAGACCAGTCCTTAGAGAGGGACATCATGCTTGGGAGGGTGGAGGGATGGCGCAGGAGGGGAAGGCCCTCTATGAGGTGGATTGATTCAGTGACTGGGATAATTGGGATGGGAGTGTCAGAGACAGTGCGATTGGCACAGGACAGAGTGGAGTTTAGGGCTGTTGTACAGAGGGTCGCTATGAGTCGCAGGCGACTCGACGGCACATAACAATAACAACAACAACATGTTAATTTTAAGGAGCCCCAGTGACTGCTAACAAAAAATAAAATCAGTGGTTCAAATCCATCAATTACTCTGTGGGAGAAAAATAGGCTATCTCTTCCCATAAAGATTTACAGTTTCAGAATTCTGGTGGAGGGTCACCAAGATTCAGTCAACTACAGGGCAGTGGTTTTAGTTTTGGATGCTAATCATGCCTCTTTCTATGTGTCCTAGGTAAGAATGAACATGCAAAATGACACAAAGTTCTCTTCCAAACTCCGTAGCAATGAAACAATACATTAAGCAAAGAAAAGATCCATTTATATGGTTGTTGTTAGGTGCCATCAAGTCAAACATGACTCATAGTAACCCTATGAAAAACAGACCTGAACCCTGTCCTATCCTGACCCTCCTAATCACCTCTGACACCCTCAAGCCCATTGCTGCAGTCACTGTGTTAATCTATCTTGTTGGGGGTCTTCCTCTCTTCACTTTTACTGCACCTTTCCAAACACGATATTCCTTTCTAAGAAATAGCCTCTCCTAGCAACATGTCCAAAGTATGACGGACATAGCTTTGACACTCTTGCCTCCAAGGAGCACTCTGGCTGCGACTTTTTCAAGATATATCTGTTGGTTCTTCTGGAAGTCCATGTGATATTCAGTACTCTTTTCCAACACTACAGCTCAAAGGCATCGATGATTCCTCTGTCATCCTAATATATTATCCAAATTTTACTTTGTTATTTGCAGTAATACTGATAACCACAAAATTTTACACAAAATATACTATCACACTTAGTCTGTGTCATTAATGTATAATCAAATTAAATTAATATAATTAATTACAATTTTTATTCATTAAATATAACACTTTACATTATTACTTAAGCATTTCACTTCACACAAATTGTCTCCTCAATAAACCAAGATTTGGAAATAGGTTTTGTCTTTCGTCATGAGCAATTTAAACATATTTTATATTATTATTTTATGTAATTTTATGCATATTGTCTATCTGCTGAATAAATCAATCAATAAATGAGTATTATTAAAAATTAAGTCCTGCATAATGTCTATGAAGTGTATTTCTTCTGGCTTGTAAAACTCTTTGTAATATTTCTTCTGTGTATTTCTTCTGGCTTGTAAAACTCTTTGTATTATTTCTTTTGTGTATTTCTTCTGGCTTGTAAAACTCTTTGTATTATTTCTTCTGTGTATTTCTTCTGGCTTGTAAAACTCTTTATTTCTTCTGGCTTGTAAAACTCTTTGTATTATTCAACTTTTTGTCCTTTATGCATGTCAAAAAGCTTTCACGAAATAGCTTCCCAATCTTACATATCAAAAGGGAAAGAAAATAAAAATGATAAAACATATGGACCACCAGGATAACAAAGAGGTCTGTCTTGTAGAGGGTGAAATCAAGTTTCTCCTTGGAGGCTAGCATTTTGAAACTCCATCTCACATACTTTGGGCACATGGCCAAGAGGTACCTGTCCTTGGAGAAGGACATTATGCTTGGAAGGATGAAGAGACAGTGCAGGAGAGGAAGACACCAAATAAGAGGGATTGACACAGTAACTGGAGTAATAGGGGCAGGAGGGTCAGAGTTAGTGAGACTGGCTCAGGATAGAGTTCAGAGCTGTAAGAATTGCAGGCCACTCGATGGCACATAGCAACAGCATTCTTAATATAAATGGTTTACATGTCCCTTATTTAAGAATCCTATGTGAAAATATTTTTCTCTTAAATAATGATTAATCTATATTTCATAATACGAAATATTCTTTTTTTACCAGAGAAAAGGGTCTCTAATAAACATTAAAAGATGAGGGAAGCAAAATTATAATATCAGACAGTGGTAGGAAAAAAATCTCAATGCATGATATTACTAGCCTTATTGTTTTAGGAAATGGAAAAAATAATCTGCAGTGTATTACTTTCTGGAGCAGTTGAAACTATACTTCATTTTCTAAGTGGTCTCGACTATGAGCTATTACACCTATTTATGCAATTTTATTGTGATCTGGCTTCTGTGATGCAGTTCCAAAAAAACTAAAATTAGAAATGCCTTACAAATCCTGAGATTATGTAGTAAGGGAGAAAATAGCACTATTTTTTCCTAAAAATCTCTAATTCTCTTTTATTCTAACCAACTCTATTGTCATAATTTCATGTGACCAGGCACAGTAGTTATGCCATCATTATTTGAAAATATGGTATGTACCATAAACTCCAACTCCTGTGTAATTATTTGAAAAGTAAACAAAAAGCTAAATGGAGTTTTCTGCAGCGATATAATATAAACCTAGGAGAAAGCTTTGTTCAGATGATTGACTAAATATTATCTGACTGACTATGACTATGTCTTACTGAGTGCTTACTGTGTGTCAGGAAAAACTTTGAGTTTTCTTGGTGAGAGCAGAATTCCTATAGCTCTGTAAGTCAGGAGCTAGTATCACTTCCAGAGGAAAAACTGGAAGCATTGGTATTTAGAGAAATAATACCAGGTCACGTGGCCAAAAAATGACAGATCTCAAACCTAAAACTAGTTTCCCTGGGTCCACAGTCTGCGCTGGTAACAACAGGGAAAGATTGTCTCTATTTCACCAACAGTTACTTCTCCTTTAATCAAAAGTATCAGATATTTTCATCAGCCAATTAGAAGGACTGATACTAATGAATTGGTCACTTTTAGTCACTCATTTCTCAGAATTCTAATCTGCAAAATCATTTCTCTTACATGTCATATTCTCTGAAACCTCTCTTCCCTACTCCAACCTTTATTCTCGTCACTGTCCATCTTGTCTAATATATTTCAGGGCACAAGTCACAAATAGTAACAGTTGGCACTTTTGTGGAGACTTTTTAAATAAAGTTTCCCAAAATTTCTGCCATGTTTCTAATCACATACACAAAAACTATAAATGGTAGATGAAAACCATCTTAAACGTATGCATCGCTTCCAAGTATCATCAATGACAACTAAGTAGAATTAATGAACGTTCAGAAAGCATTGAAATCTAACTGAAAGCATCTAATCTCCACCCAAGAGAGTAATCAAATGCCCACATAATAATATCTGTTTACAGAAAACTCAAGGGAAAAATAAGCCCCCAAAACAATACACCATTGTCTTTGAGTTGGAACTGACTCGCAGCTAACTCCATTGGTTTCCAAGGTTGTAAATGGCAGGCCAGGAGATGGTTCATCTTTTCCCCCTGGAACCACTGCTGGATTTGAACCACCAAAGAGGTGTGGCCTTTAGGTTAGTTGGCAGGGTAACTCTCTAAGGACTATGTCACCAGAGCTCCATAAGCCACCTATGAAGCTCTGCTGACTAAATGCGATAACGGTTACCCATGGTGGACCGAGTTTGGTGGAGCTTCCGAATTAAAACAAGCTTAGAAGCAGGAGTGGCCTCCACTTTCGAAATAGCTTGCCTCTGGAAACTTACGAACATGGATAAATGATGAAAATCATACAAGTGTTCAGGTCTCTGTTCAGGGTCGCTTTGAGTCGTCTATGACTTGACGCACTTAGCAACATACAGAGAGCTCTCTTTGCCTAGTGGATAGAAAGTTATGCTACCAAGCTAAAGATGGGCAGCCCTCAGGCCTGGTTTTAATTGTTTTTGGTCATACATTCTTCCAGGTCATATAATCCAGTTTGTCCATTTGCTGTACAAAGGTAACTCGTGTTTGGTGTTATGCTAAATATTGTGACACTGATGTGTCAAATGTGATAATGGTTACCCACGGTGGACAGTGTTTGGTGGAGCTTCCTGATTAAAACAATCTTGGAAGCAGGAGTGGCATCCACTTCCAAAACAGCTTGCCTCTGGAAACTCTATGAATGTGGAGAAATGATGAGTTATACAAGTGTTCAGGTCTTTCACTCTTAGGGTTACTATGAGTTGTCTACAACTCAACGGCACCTAATCACAACAACAACAACAGCAACCATCTACCATCAGTGGAGAAACACATATACCATGTAAGGCTGTCTTATTTTTCTCATGAGGATAATCATTACCTATCTTTAATTCTCTAGGCTTGCTGGTGGTTCACCATTGGTACGAAAACATTACTACTTAGATGAATTAATCCAGTTCCTTTCATTCCAGAGTAAACCATTCTCACATATCACCTTAAGAAACAACTGATATTTCAATCCATGACTTCAGTGAGCTCAAAATCACTTAAGCAAGCACAGAGAGAAAGCAAACATGCCAGAGATGCAGAGATGCTGGTTCTCACGGATTTCTTAAAAACTTGTTTTGCGCACATAGTCCTCGTATTCTAGAACCCAATGCCAAGTGGACCTGTGAGCACTGGTCTCACAAAATAATCCTTATAAAAGAAACAGAGGAAATAAAAACCTCAGGAAGGTGAACAGGAAAAGGGAGGGAGACACAAACGAGCAAACAAAAAATCCCTTTGACCTGATATTATGGTGGGGAAAAAAAGAAAAGAAAGTATAATATAAAAAGACACTAAGATGAATAAAAAAACAGTGTCATGGTTTACATGTGGGGTTTGGATGGAATCTAGGGCTGTGTTTTAATTCAGAACTCACCATCTCAAAACCACTTCGTTTCATCCGCCTGCAGGACTTGAGGTAAGTACGTATGCGTTTTCTGGCACGCTCTTGATACTCAGGGAATTGTCGCCTGCATGAGTCAATGATAGCTTGGATCTTTTCTTTGGGCTGCTTAGAGATTGGGACCATTCGGTCCAAGTTTTCATCTACAAACAGCCTGACAAACATCTGTTGGCAAGAGGGAGACAGAGGAGAAGGGTTTGGAGGGCTGCTCTCTTCTCTTCCTCGCTTCCTGTCTTGATAACCGATAGGAACATAACTCGTGGCTGCTTTTATGCAACTGGAGTACTTTGCAATGGAAAGCCAGGAATTTTTAAAGCAAACACTCTTTAAAAGGCTTTCTAACGGGTTGGATAAAAAAAAAAAATTAGAGAGAAAGAAAGAGAAAGACAGACAGACAGACAAAACAGACAGAAAAAGAAGAGAGACTATTGTGGAGAAAATAATCAGGAAATAACAGTAAACTGACAGTCAAGCACCCCATAAAATACTCTATTAATGATCAGTACGACTGCTACATTGCTACATCACACAGTGTGCTAATCTCTGCAAACAAACACAATCGACTCTTTTTTAAAAAAAATCATGCATAATTAGATAAGCTGGAAAAGCAAAAGAAAGGAAATAAAATAATAACTGATGACAGGCGGACTCTTCCGATGGCTAAGCTGAGGCCCCTCCATCCACTGGATAAACATGCATACTCACACAACACAATTCCAGTTTTCAGCTCACACTGGGCTTTAAAATTCTAAACAAAACACAGCAATTCTGGTGTCTGGTTGGCAAAGAGTGTTTCATGTACTTTTTAAATCCTTCTGTAAATTAAACAAACATGTCTCTAAAATATCCACATTTACCAACGAGCAACAACACGAAACTGAAGTGGCAAAAATGCAACCACATGGGGCGTGCGGATGGACTCACATTGAAAGCTTTCAGCCGCTCGGCTTCCACGCCGCCGTCTGTCTCGGCTGCTTTCTCCGAGTCCTCGTGGTCCTCGTGGTCATCTTCGTCCTCATCGCCCCGGTTCAGCGACAGGTCCTCAGCGCCTCTGTCCACACTCTCATTTTTGCCAGAGTCATAGCTTGAGTAGCTATGTGCGGGAGACTGGAAAGAATGAAGAAATCCAGCTTTGAATTTGTTGTCTCTGATTATACACATGGCGTTTAAGCTTTCATTTCAACTATTTTTCAAAGTTCTGGTATAAATGAACTGGTAACTGTAATGTTATGGCTATTCTCACTAAATCAAAGTTAATTTAAATAAAATTAAGATTCATTTCCTCAATCACACAAGTCAATTTTCAAGTGCTTGGTAAGCATATATACAACATTGATCACTGGAGAAAGCTCTATTGGGCTTTACTATTTCAAAGCAAGTCCTAGCCCCACATCATATCTATATTCTAAGACCACTCAAATCTGTTATCAATTTTACAAAAGAATCATTGAACCTCATATTCTAGGAATGGGATCCAAATTTAAAAAAACCTAAAAAGTGGATGTTTTTATTAACTTACTCAAAAAGAATATTGTACAGACTATCCCTGAGTTATAACTGAGATTTGTTAGTAAATCTGACTTTATGTTGAATTTGAAGCCAAAGTTGAACCGGTGTATGCCGTTTTTATTTATCATCAGGTAGTCAAATATGTCATTCCCTCCCCTCCCCTCCCCTCCTTTCCCTTCCCCTTCCCTCC